ATTAAAAGCTAGTAATGTACAAACTAATAGTACAAAAGTGATAAAAAAATGAGAAAGAATTTGTCATGGTAGCAAAAAGTAGCAAACTCATTTTCCATGAATAATACTGCTCTTAAAAACATAGTCTTCAACTAAAAACTCATACTGAATAAACCTACAAGCTATGAAAGCCACACAGAAAATATGACTCGACCGGTTCAAACCTTCAACGTCATCATCTTGCCCATTTGTCTTTCAATGCAATTCTTGAATATAAATCTTGTCATTACCATTGAGGAAAAAAATAGTATGAGCGGTCAAGGTGGTGTCGAACTACAGTACAAATACCTGGACCAAAAAAAATAAAAAATAAACTACAAGGAGAGAGAGAAATATAAAACAAACTCTGGTAGCAAGATCAGCCAGTAAGGAAGAAGGTGGGGGAGCCTTACAACCCATTTGAACACGTGCTCACCAAGTACTATGAGCTGCATACAATTACTTGGCAACAACTTGGGTATGTAGGTCCTATAGAAAAAAATAGAGCTTTTTCCTTGACTGACTGTTCCCTACCATTGTTAATGAAGGTTAGAACGAGCTCATTTCTGACAGTGGCCACTGAAAATGTTATCGACTAAGTCGGCACAGGGGAGGTGCTGTGTTCCACGCTAACAAGAAGATCTATACAAAGTGTATCAAGCAAAAAAAAAGCCTTTCAAACAACATTTATCACATATATTACAAATAGATTTGGTTCTCAATTGCTTTCAACAACTTTGACAAACTTTTACTTCTTCTCTTCTTTCTCTTTCTCTTCTGTCTTCTTGTTGTCTTCCTTTTCACCCTCCTTCTCGTCCTTTTGTGCCTTCTCCTTTTCAGAGTCGTCCTTTTCCTTTTCCTTTTCGTCCTTCTTTTCCTCCTCCTTCGCCTTCTCTTCACCTGCCTTCTCCTCTTCCTTCTTTTCCTCCTCAGGGGGGGGCTTGGGCAGGTGGGAGTTCAGGTCCAGGTTGGTGCACATGTCGTCCCAGTCGGGGAAGGCGCGCTCCTTCACGCGGTTGCAGAACTCGACCAGGTTGGTGCAGTTCTCGGTCATCCAGTCGCGGAGTGTGTAGCTCACTTCCTTGTCCATGAAGGCTACCTGAGCCAGGTTGGCAAAGGCAACCACGTCAAGCTGTATGGACAAGAGGAGGATTAGATTGGTCACATAGCAAGTGACACTGAAGACTTGAGGAATCTTCAAAATGGCAAAAACTTTACAACTTTAAAAAATCAGCTAAGTATCAAAATAACAACAGGTTTATTAGGTTGATTAACAAATAAAAAGGTGATCAGCACACAAGAATCTATCAAATTCTAGTTTTTAATCTGTAAAATAACTTAAATACTACAGACAAAAAGGATAGATTCAGTGAAGATTGCAAAAAGTGGGCACCTCCAGTGTTCGTGGCTTACCGTCGTGGGAGAATCACCGAAGAAGAAAGGTTTGTCTCCTAGAAGGTCTGAAAGAACCATCAGGTCATTGTGTCCGAACTCCTCAATCTCCTCTGGCTTGTGCACACCGATTCCATGGGCGCGGACCTTCTTGGCAGCCTGGTTTGTAAGGAGAATCATTAGCTTTGATACACTTGATCAAGCTCTAAACCATTCTACTATGAAAAATTACTAATAATCTAAAAGAACAAATGGGAACTTTAACAGGAACAAAATTAAGGTACTATACCAAAAACTGAAGTCTAAATATATTTTTCACAATACAACAAATATTTAGAAAAAACGAAAACAAACAAGACTGGGCAGTAACACAACTTTACATATTAAATACAGGTTAAAATACAGGACAGGAGGGAAGTGAGAGAAGCAGGCAAGGTGTTTGGAGAGGAAGGGGAGGTGTTGCTAGCATGGCGGGGCGGAGAGGGGGCTGCAGCTTACCCTCCTGAACTTAAGCTTGAAGATGAACTCAAGGACTGGCTTGGGCCACTTCTTTTCAGTGATCTGCTGCAAGTCCATCTTGTAGGCACCCAGCATGCCAGCAGGATTCTTGGTGCGCCATGACTTAACCACCCTACAAGAAAAAGGACACCCATGCAACATGCTGGTTGTTAAAACAAAGGATTTTAAAAGCCTGTGATATAAGCTATTTTGTTTGCTATTTTAATAAAGAAACGTGGTGGTGGCACTATATCCCCTCAACCTTGGAGAGGATTTTGACACTATTATCCCTGCTTCAACAGGAGAATAAGAGGATCCGAATCCTTTTCCAAGAGTCTGCGAGATCTGGCGTGGTACAAGGAAAGGAGGACGACTGGCCTTGGGTGTGCACTAGACGCCACGTGAGGATTCTGCCGAAGGTTTTGGCTTCCTGTACAAGGAGACTGGATGGGTCTAAAAAGGTCTTTTGTACAGCAGTGACAGACAAGAGCAGCAGCAGCAATGGTAGTAGCAGCAGCAGGAGCACCAACAGCGGCAACAGCAGCAAAGGTCACAAAGCAGATGTTTGCTTGTTTAAGCGAGTTATTGCTAAAAAAATGCTACACGAGGTGTAATTACAGAAAAATAACTAAAGAGGTGTGATACCGTGAATTAAGGAGGCTAAAAGGAGACTGAGTGCTATTCCCTGAACATTCCTTGACCATTTGTATAGCAACAAGAACCACTCAAGCACTGCCCATCTCCTTTCTTACCCTCTTAATGGTTTGGGGAAACTTTATGTAAATAAAAACGTGTGGAGTTGGGCATGGGACAGGAGTGCAGTGAGAGGTGCCCTGACCTGGCGGTACCGGAGCTTGAAGGCAAAGTTCAGGACAGCATTGGGGATCCTTGTGTTTAACGCCTGCTGGAGGTTCAGCTTGGCGGCCCTAACCCACTCCCCCGGGCATCGGCACCGCCACCACTTGACCACCCTTTGTGTGGAGAACGTCCACAGTTAAAAGCCGAAGGAGGCCAAGTGCAAGAACCCAACAGAAAACTCACCATTGGAAAGAGATATTTGTTAAGTCTCCTTCGGAGTAAGCAGGAAAAAAACTACATTTGGTTAATTCAGTGATGCATGCAAGAAAAAAATACCAGTACCTTTGTTAGAGCTGTTAGAATACTAAAATTACCACCTCAAAGGCCCACAACCCAAAGAAGAAAAAGACTAAAAAAGCTTTTGAGTTGGAAGACCTGATGCGGTAAAGCTTCCGGCACAGCATCAGAAAACCATCCCATGTTAATTGTAAAACAAAGTTTGGGAAAGTGTTAAAAGTGTTTCCAAGAGGTCACTGCGCCAGTCGGTTCGTTAATGAAGTGCCCTTCGGCAACACCCACCGATTTCACTTTACGCTTAAACAGGAAGTTAAGAATCACTGCAGGTAATGCTTTCTGGAGGATCTGCTTCAGGTCCAACTTGTACCCTTGAATTAGTAAGTCAGGGTTGTTGGACATGAACGACTTCACAACCCTGAAATAATGCAGAACATGTATATACAAAACCAAAAAAAAAAAAAAGGCAGCTGGAAATCTGGATGAGGAATAGAAATAAAAATAGCAAAAAAAGAAAGCAAATAAAATAAAACTGGAGACCTGAAATACAAAGTGGACATTAATAAGAAAAAAAAATCAGTTGCGTAGTCCTTAACATTACAGTGTGGCTGGCTAAATGGTACATTTGCTAGAGCATTCCTTTATCCCCATGTTCTGGTAATGTTTAACCCCCCCACCCCCATGCCATTATGACATCTGGCTTGCATACCATGTGTTGTTAGAGTTCCAATGCCCATTCTGTCTCAAAACTACTGCCACGGTATGTTCACAAGATAAAAGTGGCAAAGGCACAGCTCCTCTGAAAGCCTCTGATGCCCATCAGAGGCTTTCAGAGGAGCTGTGCCTTTAGTTAGACGAAGGGAAAGATGTAACGATGGGAGAGGTACGGGGGAGGGGGAGGGGGAGGGGGGGGAGGCGAGATGTTGGGGTGAGGTAAAGTAGCATCCCCGCCCAACCAACATACCCAACTCCCCCCGCCCCCCGCCCCCCAACCCCCCCTTGTACGCGCGCGGCAGTTGGCGGGGGTTCAGCCTCGCCAGACGGGATCCAGACAGATCAATAGCCCACCGCCCCCCCCCCCGCCCACTCCTACGCATTCCCCTCCCTCACCCTCCCAACCTCTCCCTTTCCCTCCCTTGGTCAAACTCCAGCCTGCTCTACTCCACAACGCCCCCGCCCCCCTCGACATCAGGCCCCCCCTCCTCCTAAATACGTGCTTCCAAACTTAAATCCCCCCCCTCCCAGAGTCACGTTGGCCGTGTGGTCCCGTGACAAGAGCACATGGGGGGGGGGGAGGGGGAGGGGAGCGAAGGTAAAACGGAGGATGATGATGAAAGGAGAGGAGGGAAAGAAGCGAGGAGGAAGCAAAGAAGAAAAGAGGAGGTAAGAGGCAAGGAAAGAGGTAGCAAGCGAAGCGAGGAGAGGAGCGTGAAGAGGACGGACGAGAGAAGGAGAGGAGAGAGCGGAGGAGAGAGCGGAGGGGGCGCGGGCGGCGGGCGCGGACCTCGTCCCTCCGCTTTAAAGAGCCGGGGCGGCCTCTCCTGCTCTACGGCCGGAGAGGAACAGCACGTAGCCGTCGCTGTATCGGGGTCGACAGGTGGTAGCCCACAGGTGGTTCAAGCAACAGGCACGGCCACCAGCTGCCTCCACTTTGTTACAAGACCATTAATCGTTTAGCAACAAGATACCCCGCCCAGAGCCTCGTCTATTCACCCATTTTCTTTCTCCTGCAAATGCGAAAACGGGAAGAGGAAGAAGGCAGGGGGGTGTGGGGAGGGGGTGTGGGGAGGGGAGGGAAGGGGAGTGGGGAGGGGGTGTGGGGAGGGGAGGGAAAGGGGAGTGGGGTGGGGGGAGGGGAGGCGAGAAAGGTGGTGTGGAAAGGGACGAGTGGGATGGGGAGTGGATGCGAGAACTAAGGAATTTCAGCGAGCAACTCGGGAACAAGACAGCTACTCGCGGGGAGAGACTGCTCCTGAAATACGAGGCGAAGCGAGGGGAGCGAAGTGAGGGGAGGAGCGAGCGAGGCACTCAAAGCACGCCCTCACAGCTGGAAGCAAGGGCGCGTCGTGGGAGAGCAAGGGTGGAAGAGAGAGAGAGAGAGAGAGAGAGAGAGAGAGAGAGAGAGAGAGAGAGAGAGAGAGAGAGAGAGAGAGAGAGAGAGAGAGAGAGAGAGAGAGAGATATGCACATGCATCAAACCCTGATCCGTGCATTCATACCCTCGCAATCAATACAAGCTGCTGGATGCCACGCCCGCGCTCACGGCTCTCTGCCCTCCCACGTTTCCCTCTCTTCCGCCCACCCCGCCCACCTCGCTCTCTCGCCCAGTCCCGCCCACCTCGCTCGCCCTCGCCTGCAGCCCATGCAGAAGGTGCATGACAGGGACGCCAGCCTGACAGGCATCTAACGGTCAACGCCGTACGAGCACGAAATGGCTGTCAAGTGGGGGGAGGGAGGGGAAGGGGGAGGGAGGGGATCCTATACCATCCAGGGACTGACTCCTGCCAAGTCAACAACCCTGCTTAAACGGATTAGGCGGGGGGAGGGGAGCGGGGGAGGAAGGGAGGCAGAGCAATGCATGACCCTCGCATGAACACTCAATCCCCGCGGCGAGGGGGGGGGGGTACAGGACCTTGCCCCTCGCCCTCGCCCCCCCCTCGCCCCGTCCCTCCCTCCCTCATGCCCTACCTAGCAAGATCTAACCATCGCTGTTGCCTGGACGCGCCGAGGAGACCACCTCGAAACACTTCCCGCATTTTTATTTCCGTTGTATTTCTACTGCCATGCAATGACTAAAGGAACGCTTTGGATTTTCCTAACGACTTATCAACCACTACAGGGTCGTAGAGGCGACAGCCCACAACCACAGCGCCCACCCGCGTTTCGACAGCGTTACCGCACGCCCGTCTTCTCCGTCAGATCGACTGTCCGTTCCGTCCCGTTTGGTTCCTGGACGTTCCTCACCGGATCGGCCCGCTACGATCCTATCCGAGCGGTTCCATTCCATTTCCATTCCTACGTCAGTTTCCGTTCCTTTCCGTTCCGTGCCTCCGTCGCCGTTCTCGCCTGGAAGAGCATGCGGGGCGGGGAGTGTTGCCATCGCGAGCGCCGCCGCCGCCCGCAAGCCACATGGAACCGCTCTCGTCCAAACTGTCACGCTGAATATGCCCTTGTTGCCGGGGGGGGGAGAGCCGTTCCCCTTCCCCCCCCCACTCCACCCCCCCAAAAGTACGCGACGCAATCCCTAGGCTTCTGGGGCATGACCCTCGCATGAACACTCAATCCCCGCGGCGAGGGGGGGGGGTGCAGGACCTTGCCCCTCGCCCTCGCCCCCCCCTCGCCCCGTCCCTCCCTCCCTCATGCCCTACCTAGCAAGATCTAACCATCGCTGTTGCCTGGACGCGCCGAGGAGACCACCTCGAAACACTTCCCGCATTTTTATTTCCGTTGTATTTCTACTGCCATGCAATGACTAAAGGAACGCTTTGGATTTTCCTAACGACTTATCAACCACTACAGGGTCGTAGAGGCGACAGCCCACAACCACAGCGCCCACCCGCGTTTCGACAGCGTTACCGCACGCCCGTCTTCTCCGTCAGATCGACTGTCCGTTCCGTCCCGTTTGGTTCCTGGACGTTCCTCACCGGATCGGCCCGCTACGATCCTATCCGAGCGGTTCCATTCCATTCCATTCCTACGTCAGTTCCGTTCCTTTCCGTTCCGTGCCTCCGTCGCCGTTCTCGCCTGGAAGAGCATGCGGGGCGGGGAGTGTTGCCATCGCGAGCGCCGCCGCCGCCCGCAAGCCACATGGAACCGCTCTCGTCCAAACTGTCACGCTGGATATGCCCTTGTTGCCCGGGAGGGGAGAGCCGTTCCCCTTCCCCCCACCCCACTCCCACCCCCCTTCCCAAACAAGTACGCGAACAGATACAATCCGACCCTTCTGGGAGGGAGTATTAGAGGCTAAAATAGCGAAGCGATGAAGAGGATGAGGGGGAGGGGAGGAGAAAGGGAGAGAGGGGGAGGGAGGGGGTACCAGCATTGGAGCATTATGGAGTGTGGAGGTTAAGGGGGGGGGGGAGGGGG